TTCTTTTTTAAAAAATAAATTTTTGAAGAAAAAAAACTCATTCAAATGGGTCTTTAGTTTTTGTGTGGCAGAATTAAGAATAAGCAGTTCCTTTTATTAAAAAATTATACAAACTAGTGGAAGATCGAACTCATTTTCAAAATGTCACATTTAACTACCCATTCTCGTTAGTTGAATGCACAAATTGAACCATGGTGTTGAAAATTCAAGTATGATGAGTCTCCAACATTAGTTATTAATGGGCTAAGTGAGGTCCGTATAAGCGGGAAAACCTATGTACTCAATGCCTTAAGATTTTGGGTTGTGACGTGGTATCAGACCCACTTGGTGTGGTTGATTTAGCTTAGCCCATCGATGGAGGTCCCCCGCCATGAGCTCTTCTTGGACCCGCTGACATTGGTATCAGAGCTGGGTTAGGCTTGGGTTAACCAAGTGTTTAGCTAAAGGCGGATTGAGTACTTTGGGTCTGGGTACTCGGAGTAAGGGGAAGCATAACAATGGTAAGTTTCACACTTGAGGGGGAGATTGTTGAAAATTTAAATGGAGTGAGTCCCACATTAATCGTTGATGGGCTAATTGAATTAGTCCATACAAGTGGAAGTACTTATTTACCCAATGCCTTAAGGTTTTTGGTTGTGACATGATGTCGGACTCACTTGGTGTGGTTGATCTAACTTAGCCCATCGATGGTGGTCCCCCATCACGGGCCTCTCCTAGATCCGTTTGACAATTGGTATCAGAGCCTTCCACTATGACTGTCAGTTGCAATGACGCGGGTGGTGACGCTTGCATTGGAGTGTTCACTGGGGCTACGGAGCGTGATGAAATGTTACAATTCTACTCCAAGGTATGAGACTTGGAGTCCCAGAGTTTATAAAGACTTTAACTTCTCTTACCTCTTAAGCTAATTTTTGGGGTGAGGTTCTCACAATATTCGTATCACATGCTACCCTATATATGTATACACAAACATCTTCTGTCCTATTATTACTAGCTAGGCCAACTTAATTATTCAAATTACTTCAGTTACGTTTACTGTTATTTTCAAATCAACGTAATTCATGGCTAAAAAAAGTTCCCTTCAAATTTTGAAAGCACATTATTATATCAATAATTTGTCCGTCTGTAGACCAAACACTCTTTTTGTATTCATTATATATAAAGTAATAAACTCTCATAAGTATTAACTCCTTTGTCCCAAACTCAATTTGATGACACGAGGATACAATGTCTTTGGGTTTATTTTTTCGAAAAAAAAAAAACCGTCTTTGGGTTTATTGTGCCTTTTTATGAATGATATATATATATATATATATATATATATATATATAGGGTTTTATAAGAGTTATGTGTAATGTTATAGAGATTCGTTTTGCGTGCCTTAACTTTTTTAATTTTTTTTTGTTTTAAAAAGTGCGGGTCCCACCAAATGTTGTGTGTGTAGGAAATTTAATGGTGACATGTTAAAGGACAAACTACAATCCCATATATATATATATATATATATATGGGTAAATATTTCTGCAATCACTTTAGATAATCTTATCTACAGCTACCCTTGATAACTATGTTCTCCCGGGAGAACATAGATATAACATTAAAAGTTACTTTTTTTCTCTCCTCATTTACTTTTCAGAACCTGTCTGCTGACGTGTAGAGAGAAAAAAAAGTAACTTTAATGTTATAAATATGTTCTCCCGAGAGAATATAGTTATAAATGGGTAGCTGTAGATAAGCTTATCTAAAGTGGCTGTAGAAATACTTTTTCTATATATATATATATATATGGAAAAAATATTTCTCCGGCTATCTCCGGCCACCCCAAAACTACGTCATTTTGTTTATTTATTTCCTTATATTAATTCATTCATCTTTGAATGGTTATGATTCTTTTTTTCTATCTTTTCCTTTATCACCATTGATCTATCTGTATACGACTATGATTTAGTAGTCGGAGATAAAATTATCTCAAGCAGCTTGAGAAACGATAAGCTATATATATATTTGAAAATATTCCAATCGATTTATCTATTCGCGATTAGTCCAATTTGGAGCAAGTCCCGAGATTAAGGCTTTAAACCACTTTGGGGAGGATTGCATACATACTCTCATCTTCACCTGCTCAATTCATTGGTACCAATTAAGCTACCATCATTTGATTTTATGAATGCTATATGATCCATATATATCTAAGCAGACTTTAGTGCGTTGGATTATTATCATTTATTTTTGGTAAAAATGGATTATTATCATTTGAATTTTTCATTCCAAATTCCAAGCTCGATCATGAATTAAGTTGTACGCAGCAAAAGAAAGCAGGAAAGAAAGGGCCAAGTGGGCTAAGACATTACATGTTATGTCCATAAAAATCAGATGAGTATATGGTCCCCTCATAATGATCAAAGTATGCAACATTTTACGTGTATTTTCTAACAGTCTCCGCTTTTAGCTGCTACATAGGGTTACTTCACAGTGGTTTCTTTCAGACGACCCACCTCAACCTCGAAACGTCAGAAAACTAAATGAATCATTAGCTCTCTTTCGCTATTCTCACAACAACGGTAATCTTAAACACTAAAAAAATAAAATATGAGGAGAGCGAAAAGGGAAAAAGAAAACGGGGCTACGCAAATCCGTGAGCCTGGGTCCGCAGTTACAAGTTTTACGACCTTACCAACCCAGTTAGCTTTGCATTCTTTGCGTCAAACAGTTATTATTATTTTTTTCCGACAAAAATAAAGCAGATTAACCGTCACTTTAACCACTTTATTATCCAAAAATGGATCAACGCTTTCACTAAACACTATCTATATATTTAACAGGGGCTAAAAGGGATCAATCGACTCAAATGAGATTGTTTACTTTTTACTTCGTGGCTCTCTTACTTTTCCTATCCATGTGAATACAACCTATGGAATTGAATACTCAGAAATCAGGTAGCTAGAAACTAAGGGCGGATGACAGGTTACAATTTACAAGTGTTTTTTTTTTTTTTTGAAACATACAATTTACAAGTGATTAGCAATTAATTATTGGTTGTTTTAATTTTATTTTTTAATCTAGCTACCAACTTCATAAAAATTATAAACTTAATTTGCTTTCCTTGTAATTAAAATAAATTATGCCTTTCGTAATAAAGAATTAGGAAGGACAAACACAACAATCTTCAACCTCAATCCATGTGGTAGATGTCTCGAGAAATTATGACCGTCTGTAAGCTCCATTTTGTGGGCCTCGCAATTAGGAACCACCTGATTGAGAGTATCTTTGTTATGATTTTATATTCATACACAAACAAAATTATCTGTCATTTTTGTAATATTTGTAGGAGAAAATCAATAACTGGATTTTTATCATTTTTTTTCTATTCCATATCCAACATAATTTTTTTAAGATAACAAAAAATATGAAAGGAATAACTCAAAGCCAAATTAATAATAATTAAGCGAGCTTTAACAGTGGGCAACAGCTTATATATCTATCTTTAATTTGCTTGATATAGTATGGTTCAAATCCACTATCATGGTAATACTATTAATATAGATAGCTAAGATTGACCAATCAATTTGATATTCTTTTAATTATATGCGTACGTGATGCGATCTGTAGCTGCAAGAGTGTCATCAGTTTGTTAGCTTGCCAGTGCCAATATATTACGACAAGCTAGCTAAGAAAAAGGAACAAAGAATGGAGAAACAGCGAGGGCTTATTCGAGGAAGTTAAAACAGGATTGAAGAAAATGGCCGACAACAATTATATGGAGTTTAGTGCAACCAGGGAGCACTATGGTCCATGCGGTGGGCATAGCCTAGGATCCAAATTAAGTCTTCGTGGAACTTGTGGGTCATTATGACCCATTTTCCATGAGATTTGCTGTCGGTATGGCGTTCTCGGCGCCACTACAAAGTCTACAATATCCCCCTCCTCCCAAGTTATATGTGTCTCTTGTTTCTTTGTGTGTTTTTTTTTGTTTTTTTAGTAATTTTTTTGTGTTTTTTTAACTCAACCACACCAACCTATGCATTCATAATTCATATACCAAAAAAAAATTACAAAAAGAAAAAAAAAATCATAGTTTCTAATGTGTCAGATAAACTTACAAACCCCACGCTATAGTCTAGCCGGTGGGAGACACTTTCAACAAGTAATGATAATAATATTTTAGTATCTTACCAATATTGAGTGACGCTCGGGAGCGTGGATTGCACGTGAAATGGATGGGGACGGTGGACAAAGCTCGTAAATTAACACACTCATTCAGATGTTTTGGATAACATAATACGATTGATGTTATGCTTGAAAATACAAGAGAACAAAAGTTGAGATAAATTAAACGTGGATCTTATATTTTATATTAAAAAAAAAAAATATTTGTTACTGAAAATGAATTTGTGTAAGAAAATTTTTTCTCTCCTGCGACAACAGGAGAGCATAAATTCCAAACATAATATTCAGTAGTATCGTTTAGAATGATTACAGTTTAAAATGAAATGATAAATTATGTATTTAAAAAAATATAAGATTATAATATTAGATTTTTTTTCTCTTTAAAAATTATATCATGTGATGTGTTATGTTTCTGTTGGTGAAATATAGGTACTATACTAGTATATTATATATTTTTTTGAGGTTTTGCCTCCTTTTTCTCACTCTCCCCTCATTGGGAGAGAGATTATCGTGGTCAAAGTGTTGTATTCAGCATCACGTGGCCCTCTTTGCCAATAGGATTTTGCATATATAAATACCTGCCTCACTACATCATCCCCCAATCCATCTTCAGCATTTCAGCCCAAAATCAAGACTATAGTTGGTAAATCAAGACCTTCACCTTCACTTTATCAATCTCTCTGCAATTCCTCCAATACATTCTTGCTACCCCTGCTTACTCCTACAAGTTATTGCTTGAGGCTTTCTATTTTTCCCTAGTCTTTATTAATTTCTATAGTTCTTCACATATAATCTTCTTTCATTTCCCATCCTTCGCCCCCAAAAAAAAAAAAATGAAGCTTCTGTCTAGAAAAGCCACATGCAACACTCACGGCCAAGATTCTTCATACTTCCTAGGATGGCAGGAATACGAAAAGAACCCTTACGATGAAGTTCTGAATCCTAAGGGAATTATTCAGATGGGTCTTGCAGAGAATCAGGTTAGACATTAATTCCCCAAGTAACAATATTATTTTAATGCTTAGTTAGTTACCTTCTATTATGAAAAAAAAAAACAGCACAAGGAAACAAAGAAGCATAATTCACTGTGTTTTTGCGTAACAATCTAGGTAGGCATGCCATCACATCAAGCTTTATTGAGTAATGTCATAATAATAAAGGTGGTGGGCTAATAAAATTTTTGTCTTAATGCAGCTCTCTTTCGATCTCGTAGAGACTTGGCTCGCTAAGAATCCAGACGTAGCCGGATTCAAACGCGATGGCAAATCCATATTCCGAGAGCTAGCTCTCTTCCAAGACTACCATGGCCTACCATCTTTCAAGAAGGCATTGGTAGATTTCATGGCAGAGAGTAGAGGAAACAGGGTGACTTTTGATCGCAACCACATTGTTTTAACAGCTGGCGCCACTTCAGCAAACGAGACCCTCATGTTTTGTCTCGCTGATCAAGGAGAGGCCTTTCTCCTTCCCACTCCTTATTACCCAGGGTGCGTACTTTATCTTCTAAATTTCACTTGTAATATTCTGCATGCTCATGAGTACCCACACCACACCCATTTCGTTTTTTTTTTTTTACATGCATTTCTCTGATTTCGTTTGCACTTGTGTGCAGATTCGACAGAGATCTCAAGTGGCGAACTGGGGTTGAAATCGTTCCAATACAATGCACAAGCTCCAATAACTTCCAAGTCACTGAATCAGCTTTGCAAGAAGCTCATGAAGAGGCAAAGAAGCGTAACCTCAGAGTCAAAGGCGTCTTGGTGACAAACCCATCAAATCCACTGGGCACAACAATGTCTCGGAATGAATTGAACATGCTCATTGACTTCATCAAGGACAAAGACATGCATCTCATAAGTGATGAGATTTACTCCGGGACCGTTTTTAGCTCTCCAGGATTTGTCAGCATCATGGAAATCCTAAAGGAAAGAAATGACCTTAAGGATTCTGATGCTCAAATCTTGAACAGAGTTCACGTTGTCTATAGTCTCTCCAAAGACTTGGGTTTGCCGGGTTTCCGCGTGGGTGCTATCTACTCTGAAAATGACATAGTTGTGGCCGCAGCAACAAAAATGTCAAGCTTTGGCTTGGTTTCCTCACAAACGCAGTACCTTCTCTCAGCCATGCTTGGTGATAAGAAATTCACTCGAAACTACATCTCCGAGAATCAAAAGAGGCTGAAACGACGACAGAAAATGCTCGTTTCGGGGTTACAAAAAGCAGGTATTAACTGCCTTAAGACCAATGCTGGCTTGTTTTCTTGGGTTGACATGAGACACCTTCTCCATTCAAATACATTTGAAGCTGAGATGGAGTTATGGAAGAAGATAGTGTACGAAGTTCGATTAAACATATCACCCGGTTCGTCTTGCCATTGCACCGAGCCAGGTTGGTTCCGGGTATGTTTTGCTAACATGTCCGAAGACACTTTAAACCTAGCAATGAAAAGATTAAAGAACTTCGTTGCAGACTCCAACGACAAAGGGTGCAGTAACATCAGAGCTCAGTCTTCGGGAACTTCGAGAAGAAAGTCACTCTCCAATTGGGTTTTCCGGCTATCGTCTCGTGATCGTCGTGAACAAGAAGAACGATAGCCTGGTCATTGTGTGAATTGTGAAGTGATCATATGAACGCATGCACAATTAACTTTAATTGTTTTTTTCCTCCCCTATTATTTTTGGTGGAGTTACAACTACATCGTTTTTTTTTTTTTAATTGGTGAAATCGTAGAGAGAGAAAGAAAAAGCACTCTGTCTATTTGGATGGGAAGTGTGGGCTTTAGTTGGCCTGGTTTGTATAAGTTCCATCTCAATCATCAATTCCCTTACGTATGAAAAATCTTCTTGGTGTGATCCATGAAAAGTTTGAAATATATTATTATCAAGTACTATGTTCATGGTTTATAAATTGTTATCCCAAGACTTACATATAATTGCACATAAATCATGCTAGTTGTAAATAGTAATTAATAATAGCATACATATGTGTGAACACGCACATTGCTTACGAGAGCTTACGCGTATATGTAAATAATGGCACCGGCGAGATAAGCGGAGACACACGGTGGGTTGGGCTGCCGACGTTGGCGCCGGTGTTCCACAGACCGACCTTCTTACGGATTTTTCACTGACCTAACAGTCTTCAAGGAGTATAATTAGGAGAACACGTAGTAGTGTGTGTGGTGTCAGAGAACAAAAAGTCAATAATATTAGGGTTTCGCATGTAATTGGACATCGGGATTTTCAATTACATATACAAACATATTCTCTTTCTTTCTTTTTACCATTTTAAGGGGTTAATACTTAAAAAGACATGGCCAAAGGGAGCACCAATTTTCTCCTCATCTTTAAGAAATTAAAGGTTATGTGGCGGAAACAAAGTAAAAACTTTTTTTGTGTTGAAATTTGAACTTGGAAACCCTTGATAAGATCGTCACCCACTACGTACGCAAGCACAAAATCGTGCGGGAGGTTTTTTCAACCAAAAAAAAAAAAAAAAAAAGTTGAAAACACCTTGCTTTGTTGAACTTTCTGGGAGTAATCATCACTGCTCAAAAAGTTATTTGTTACGCGTTGTGTAGGACGATCCATGTGCTGGCTATCTCTCCACGAATCACGAACTCTCTTTATTAATCAACTTTAATTTTAGCTTTTGACTCACTTTCCAAGAAATAAACGGAAGCAAAAAGTTGCTTGAATTGATGGTTGGATGAGGAAAACTCGGGAAGACAGCAACATTACCAGTTATTACAATTCACACAAAATTATACATTGATAAAGGCAATTTGTTTAATTTAAAAAGTTGAATTTTTTCAATTAAAACATATGTTTAATTTTTTTTATAATATTTAATAACTTTTAAGAAAAATAAAACTTCAAATAAATATTTTAATTTTTTAAAAATAAAAGCGATTTCTAAAAAATTTAATCATAAATTATTATTTTTGATTTATCCAAATACATATTAATTAAATTAGCATATGCAGTTAGTCACATGTATCACTCCAACACGCAAGCTCATTTTCAAGAGTCTCATTCAGGCTTGTAGTTAGCCCGAGCCCCGTGTTATGACTAACGCTATCTATGATCATGCATTCACAGTTGGAAGAATATGTATATTAAATCTTTCTCACTTCTCACTCATACTATATTTATTTAAAGCACAAACCTAGCACATACTAAGGTGTACATATATGTATGTGTTATTTTGATCGAGAATAACATTTTACCTACCAAAACAAATATATTCATATACCAAAATTTATATAGGGAAATAGAAGTATAATGTTGTAGAAAAGTTGTTAGGTTATGTTATAGAGATAGGGATTGTGGGACCCACACTTGTTTTGTTTTGTTTTTTGAAAACAAGTGTGGGTCCCTCAATTTCTATCTCTATAACATAACCTAACAACTTTGTTACAACATTATTCTTCTTTTTTCCATTTATATAATAACAACACAATATGGAGGTGATAAAATTCAATAATTATTTTTACAAGTAAAAGCGATTATACTAACGAAACAAGATATCTTGATTTTTAAGCGACACAAATCTAACTGATGAATTTTTTTTCGTAACTCTTTTTGCAAAATTTTTGATAATGACTCTACAATATATGCAAACAGGCTAAATTTGTGTGTTTGTTTTTAGATTTCAAGCAAATGAACTCAAATCGTCGGGTCTTGTCTACAAAATTTGAGGCTAAAATATTGGGCATAAACTGATGGAGAGAATTTGCAGTGACAGAGGTCATTCTCAATTAAAATGTTTAATGATAATGAGTGCCTAACCGGTAGTTGAAGAATTTTTGACAACAAGTGGTTGTTACATACTTACTGAGAAACCATAAAACATGGAATTGATTGCCTTTTCATATACCACATTTCGATTTCGACAGGATTTTCCCTATTAAGCACGCGCATACAAATGCTAACGCTATATTGGTCATAATTAAGAGTTATGTGAGACCCATTGATTAAAAAGATGGGAATATTTTCCTCCTGTCATCGCAAAGAAAAATATCCATCTAGCCGACACATTAAAAAATTTGCTTTGTTTTATTTTATTTTTTGATTTATTATATTGGTGGAGTCCATCAATTTATGTCTCTGCAAGAAACTTAAATTTTTTTCTGTAACATAACCAACTAATTATCCTGAAAAGATAATAAAAACAGTGTTTATTTATATTGTTGGTGGACACGGACCTTTTTTTGACAATACCCAATTCGATACTCAATTTTATTGCCAGCTGGCTGACAAGGAAGGAAATTCTTCTTCCTAGCTAAGCCAGCTAGTAGTTGCTACTAACTGCGCAAAGATTCCTTCCCTTTGGTTTTGTTGTATCTCACATCATCCAAAGCGACGAATGATTCCAATCCTTCTTGTGAGAAACAGAAAGATATTTAAATAAGAGTTAAGCTTGTGTACTTTTAAAAGACATAAATTGTATAAATAATGTTACTTTTATAATAAAATAAAATAATTATTTTCACCTCCTGATTCAACTCAAAGGATTCAAAGGATGATTGTGTTGCACTTCGCTTGAGTCTCGCATAAATTAAAAGAGTAAAAGGTTTTTTTTTTCGATTTAAGTAATCATGTCTATTTAATTTAGAAATTGACTCTGGATAGCTAGGAAACGAAGGCAAGATATTTGATTCAGATCTTTATATTTACTTATAAAATAATTTATTTTTTGAGTTTTGTGACATTTTTAAATAAAATAAAAGCTTTTAAATTTTAATTGAGAAATAAACCGTGCAGGGTTCTTAATTTTAGTGGAGAAATATCTATGTACATATATACGTAAAATATATATTTTTTAAGCATTAGTGATAAGAAATTTAAATAGATTGCATAACATTATAAGTTAAAATGTTAGTGTTATCATTATTGAGCAGGTAAGAGATAGTATGACATGGTAAAACAGAGCAATTAATGGCTTAAAGTTAAATAAAGATATTTTAGTTAAGAGTTTCATAATTAAAGCTTAATTTTGCGTTTCTTAACTCATCTTTCTTTCACGAAAACGACCCTTAAAATGTAATAGAGGATTTATAAATTTGGGTTGAGGTTAGAAAACATTAAGGTGTGGAAATTTCGGTCCATTTCTGCGTTTCCATTTACTCTGCATTTGCTCCGTAAGTTAAATTATGTGTTTGTTTATGCTGAAAAATAAATGAATATAGCACCAAGAAAGTTATATCTTGTTTGATTTTTAACAGTATAGAAATTAATATGAAAAAAAAAAATACACATTTTAAGAGACAACGCAAAATTCTAAATTTTTATTGTCACAAAATTAGGTCACAAAATTTTGCTTACAACGTAATAGAGAAAAAGACCAGTAATCATTGTCCAAAAATGATACATATTCTAAAAAATTTAAACCTTTAAGTCTAAAAACATAAAAAATAATCATTTATATCAATAACTTGGATACATTATTTTTGCTTGTACGGCCTCTTAATATGCATCTTCCACATTCTCCTTCACCTTTAACAATCAATATTTTGGTTACAACTAACTAACATGTCATGAAGTTCGTTTTGAGCATGATTGTAAATTGTATTAAAATTATTGAAATTCTCATAAAGTAATTATTGTCCCGCGCAAGCCGAAACAGAAAACATGTCAACACAGTTTTCTGTTAAAGATTTTTTAAACGCTTCTTGGATATTGGAGCTTGGACGGCAATGGAACATGAAGTTATGTATTGCATTTTGGCAGAATCTAAACATGTACAATACTTCAACAACAAAAATCAAAACCCTGTCGTAAGATAAATGAATTTATCATCTTAATGAAATATAGAGAAGAAAAGAAAAGAAAATGACGGAATAGCTGACGGTCGACTTTCATCCAGACATTAAAACTTACTTAATAAATATGCTTACGTAGACATCAACAATACAATTGGACATTAATTGCTCATACTTGTAATGCCATCGTGAAAAGAAAGGAAAGTGTGTGTTGAATAAGTTCATGTTTTAATTGATTGTGTAAACATTTTGTTGTTGAGAATTGAATTGAAAAAAAAAAAAACTGTAGTTCCGTATCGTATAGTTAGTTAATTATTACGTTGATTTCAGATTTAAATTTTAAAGAATTTAAAATTTTTACTATTTGATAAGTGGTATATAAGTTTTCACTTTCTTACAAATTAATAACATTATATGTAGTACGAGAAAATTAATTAATATTATACTATGAATTTGTCTATTACTTAATTATACTTTTAATTGATACTTCTGTTATAAATTACAGATATGCAGTTTAGGTCCCCAATTATTTTTTCTAACAACCAAATCTCTCAATTTTTCTATTTGAAACAAATAAATTTCTTTATCTGTTCATATAGGAAAATTTAGATAAATTAAAGTTAATGGCAGGTCTTCCAAAATTTTAACTTAATAAATTGTCAAGTAATATATGTAAATTATTGATTATATGATTAATTTTTATTAATAATTGGATGACAAATTGATGGGGGGTTATATTTTTCAATTATAAAAATTGGGAAAGAATCCGTTTACAAACTTTTTTGAATTTTTTTTACAAATTACACTATGTTCTCCCGGGAAAACATAGTG